AAAGCCACGTTTTCGGCCGAGTGACTCCGAATCCGTTTGCTGTCACTTTCAGAGCAAATGAAAAACAAATTCCATTCGGTTCTGAATTGACTGATTATACCGACGATAAATGTAACACGTTGGCTGACATGCCGCTAAATTTCTAATAATACGTACGTACGATACGTATGATTGCGTTTTTTATACGGATGGAAAATATAGTCTAACGTCTAAAGTTTGGTACTATTACTGACGCAAGTTCAAAAATAGTCCTTTCTTGCCTAAAAATTTTGACAAAGCAATATTTAAAATGAATCAAACTTTTTGAATTTGGTGAAAGATTTCCTTTTAACAGCAGCGCCTTCTAACGGTCTTCTTCTTCGATTGTTCTTGACGTCAGTGCCATTTTCCTTGTCTACGTGCATTATCGTTTGTCATCAGCTTTTTCAAACCTTGCTAGCTTTGTCCACGATAGCTTTAACATCCTTGGTTAGTGTTGTAAATCTCAGCAAACGGATAGTGTAGCTTTTTTCTTTAAATTTTGGACATTCTTTTTGCGGCAGGACCTCTCCCACTGGGATGCTAAGGAATAATATACCGGGAAAGTCTAAATTTGAGTAAAATGTTTCGAAACTTTGACGATATCGTTCTTCTTTTTCTGTAGATTTTTCTCTGGGGATGAGTTTCTTGTTAGTAAGCCCTTAAGAGTTTTGCGTTTCATTTTCCTTCCTAAATAAGAATTGCTCGTGACTTCAGTACCATTTTCCTTGTCTACATGCATTATCGTTTGTAATCAGCTTTTTCTAACCTTGCTAGCTTTGTCCACGATAGCCTTAACTCCTTTGATCGAACATTAGCAACCTATTGCAAAGTTTTCTCTTCAAAATTTGTATATTCCTATAGCAGCAGTGCTTCTCCTACTGGGACTCTAAGGGATAACATACCGGGCAAGTCTAAAATTATAGTAAAATGTTTCCTTAGGAGTTTTGGGTTTCATTTTACTCCCTAAAAACGTATAGTTCGTGACATCAGTGGCATTTTTTTGTCTACGTGCATTATCGTCTGTGATCACCTTTTTCAAACCTTGCTAGCTTTGTCCACGGTAGGTTTAACTCGTTTCGATAAACATTAGCAACGGATTGTCCAAGTTTTGTCATTAAAATTTGTATATTCCTATAGCGGCAGTGCTTCTCCTACTGGGACGCTAAGGGATAAAATGCCGGGCAAGTCTAAAATTTCAGTAAAATGTTTCGAAGCTTTGGCGATATCGCTCTTTCTCTTCTTCTCTCTTAGCGGCAGACTGTTAAGAGTTTTGAGTTTCATTTTCCTTCCTAAAAACGTATTGTTCGTGCAGTCAGTGGCATCTTCCTTGCTAGCTTTGTCCACGATAGCTTTAACTCCTTTGGTTAATTATGGTAAACATTAGTAACCCAGGTTTTCTCTTTAAAATTTATATATTCTTATAGCAGCAGTGCTTCCTGTACTGGAAAGCTTACCGAGGAATCCTAAAATTTGACAATATCGATCTGCTTCTTCTGTAGATTATTCTCCATTACTTAAGGATTTTGAACTTCATTTTCCTTTCTAAATAAGTAATTGAAAAGTTTTGCTGGCATGTCCGTATGTGTTCAGCTTTTTTAGTTTTGCTAACTTTGAGCAGGATAGTATTGGTAAATCTTAGCAACTGATCGTGCAGCTTTTTTCTTTACATTCGGAATTTTCTCCCTCTACTGGAACGCCAAACGGCATTATGCCGGGAAAGTCAAAAATTTGAGTTTCCTTTTATTCTGACCTTAAGCGTTTTGGATTTCATTTTCCAGAGTCCAAATCGGAATGGAACTTTTTTAATATGCCATCGTCGCAAACTCATTTTCGAAAGGTCCATTTCATCCAGAACCAAGACGGGTTATCCGATACGCGGCTTTTTTTTTGGTCCGGAAACTACTAAACTTTACGACGCGGTATCGACCAAGTTTTCAGTTGCGAATATCCGGACCTCCCGGGATATTAAGCGAACTTTTGTCGTTGACTATTTTATTCCGTTTAATGGCGCGAACGACTTTTTTAATACCCATTCCGTTTATAACGTTGGCCGGTAATCAATCTCGATTGCTCTCCCTGTCGATTATGAGCTCTCCGCCATTGAGAAGTTTTAAGCCCGACTGCTTACGAGATATTATTGTTCAAAAATTAATTCAAAAGCTCGGAACCTTACACGCTTATTCGAAAAAAATACGCATTATGTATCGTTGCGATCACAAAAAATAATCGCGATCGTCATACCAATTACTTATTTATTTATCGACATGTCTCTCCTACAGACAGACGCAGCCGTCCAATAATCATCCTGTTGGCTTATCAGAGCTTTTCCAGTATTTTTTGTCATTACACAGCATACGATATTACGAGAAGTATTTAAAAAAAAAAGAACTTTTCTTATTTTTTGTCGAAGCTGATATTTAATGATTTGGTCTATCTATGGCGAAAATATATATAACCAGAAACGTGCGAGGGAGGGGGAGACGTCATATATATCTAGGGGGATCGCTATTGTTAATTAGAACCACTTGTGATGTGTCTGGATGTGCGCCATGCTCCGATGTTCCGCAGACGGAATATATTTAAATAATTAACTTAGTTCGGGACAAAGATAAGTTTGCGCCAAGTTTGGAAGTTAATTCGATGCCGTACATGTGGCGGCAAGATTTCGCAAAACGAAAATCGCGGTGAATTCAATTTTACATGAAAAAAAAAAGAATTTCAAATAATTGCTGGTTGAATCGCGATGGTAGCCAAGTCTGGAAAATGTCAAAAATAGATTTACGCGTTACGTATATTATTTGTATAACAGAACCCAAAAAGTTAGATATAAAAATAGTGTGTCTGATACTGTCGATACAATGTATGGAGTGCCGCAGGGAACTGTACTGGGGCCGCTACTATTCCTATTGCATATTAATGACATGGTTAACGATAAATTTTGTATTTTTGGGAAAAAACAAAGATTGAGTACTGTTAATTCATAAAACATAGAAATTGAAATAAATAATGACATGCTAGTACACATGTTAGACTCAAAACTAACGCTACGCCTGCATGCAGATTATGTAATGAGAAAATTTTTGACAAAAAGTAGGATTTATTTGTAGAATAGGCCATAGTTCATTTTGTAAAACTTTGTAAACAATTGTTTTTGTCCAGGTTCAGCTTAAATGCTAATAGTGTGGAACCTTCGAAGCTTTTGGCTATCAAAATTTACTTTCTTTATTTAAAAAAAAATGGCTATTCGTCAACAAATGATAAAAAATAGAGAATAAACACATTAAATTTAGTAACGAAGGGCTAAGAAAGTTAGACATAGGGCACACATACAGTTCCAGCCCAAAATCTAGCATTAAATTAACAGGCAGAGGGGGGAACAGAAGAAGTGGGACGCAATTAACAAAAAATTTAATTAGAAACAAAAATAAAATGTTGTTAGTATACATTTTGTTTACCCAGGGCCAACAGCGTCAAAGAAAAGCCGATAGAGAAGAGATATTGATATTTGCAATTTCGTATGGGACAAACCTTACCGTATTTCTCTATATGACCTTGACATGGAACAAATTCTGACAGAGATAGCGACGACTTCCATCAATTAATTTTAAATCAACCTTTAACATGCTTGTAATGAGCTGTTTACACTTTAATCGAGAATGTATCGCGGATCCTAACCTTTTGCAGCTGCTACGCAAGACAAAATGGAGTCCTTTATATAGAGTACCATTGGTTCTCCAACATATACTCTAGCAAAATATCTAGCTTCCTTAAATAAAAATAAATATCTAGATGCCACGATTAGCCCAGAATTAGACCAGTGTGAGGAATTCAAAATTAGCATTGAAGCATTTAACTTCAGGTCGCAGTTAAAAGACGGCATGCAAAGAAGAAGAAGGCGAACACTTAACACCAATTGTAGTTAGAAAAGGGTTGCGACTTGAGAAATTTATAATTCTTTTAACAAAATGTAATACAGGGTGGCACAAAATCCAAAAAAAAAGATTTTGGGAACTCATTGGTGAGTCCGTTTCAACGACTTGGTTAATTATCAAAACGCCCGACAGATATTGTTTTTCACGTTTTAAGCGTCCAGATGTTCTGAATCGTATGGTATGATTGTTTTTCCTTTTTTTTTTAAATGAAAATGAATGAATTTTACTTGCAGCAAACACAGAGCCTTTGTTGTTATAATGTACCATCATATCATGGCGAACTTTTGGCCACGAAATGATTTTTCATTTTTCAAAACTAAAAAACTAACCAAAAATATAATACAGGGTGGTAGAAAAAGCAAATTACAAAGTTCAAATTTTCGTAGTCAAATAAAGGCCATGTAGACAACTAATTTAAGAAATAATGCGTGGTGACATTTTACCTAGAAAATATTTGAAAAATCACCCTGTGAAATATTGGACATTTATCATATAGCACCATATAAGCTCCGTCTCTGTTTTTCTACTATTTTTGGGTCTCAGAGAGATGAATTCGCAAAATAGCACGCAATCGGCAAGTTGTGAATAATAAATGAATTTTTGGAAAGTAATTGAGCCCGACGCCGACGATGGCTGGAGATTTTGCGGTGTCATTGTCATAAAATGAGGGGGACTGAAACGACGCTAATCTGCTTCTATCCTAGTCAAAACTGGCAAGAAACACGCCTTCGACGATTGTTAATCTGTCTTCCGTGACTAATCAGAAACGCTTCAATGTGTAAATAACCCTCTGCGGAAAACTCTTTGTTTTCACTGGCCTCGGAACGCTTCCTTTTTAACAACAAAACAAGAACTTCAATCATAATTCTGTTTGTCCTTTTTTTGCGTTTTTTTACCTGACATGCACAACAAATGGGTTTCGAGTGGTAGAAAACCAAAGCTTTTGAGGTTAAGATTACCTCACAAGCTCAGTTAAAAGTGTGTTTCCTTAATTTATCTGTTTCATTTCAGTCGGTTTTCGATAGACAAAGAACTCAAACAACTTACCGGTGTCTCTAACCCAATAGTTAATTGATTTGGGATACGCTTCGACGTAGCACTCGAGCGTGACGTCAGTGCCTAGTGGCGCCCCCACCAACTGATTCGGCACGTGTATTACGGGGTGAACTGAAAATAAACGGAAAACATAATTGCTTTGAACCAATTTGCTATTGCAATTATGGTAACTATCAAACAAACAGATTGCCTAGAAAAGCTTAGCAATATCAAATGCTAATAGTAATATTAAAAAACGAAATAGATTTAGGACACTACCACAGTATAAAAAAAAAAGTGTGCGTATTACAGCATGGTTCTTCTCACTGTGACTAACCTGTTCACTTATCAGCAGGATCAGTTGGTTGTTTTTGACTAATAGTTCAAAGGCATATGACTGAGTATTAATCTAGTTGTTATATTTCTACTAGGGTGTCCCTCAGGGTTCACAACTAGGTCCTTTAATTTGTTTATAAGAGATTTGTGTGACGAGTATTCTGAACAGCTTACCTTTGCAGACGGCTTTAAATTTTAAAAGACAATTTAATCATTTAATCTTGGTCAGCTTCTTCAGAGCAAGTTTTACTTGAGTCGGTGCTTTGCCACGTTGCTATGTTTATTTATATTTACATCGTATCCTTTTTTTTGTATACTGCATTGTCTGCACTTTGTGCACAAATTTAAATTTTCGTGAATCTTCGCGCGTGTTCGGGTTTTCGCGTAAAATCTTCGGCAATGGCCGGCAAAATTTTTAAATTTTCGATTCCAATATCCAAAATTGTTCGTCTTTCGTTCGGCAATTTTCGAATCTTTTCTCTCGCCTCTATGGGTGTTAAATAGGTAATTTTCAGTTAAAAAAGAAATTATCATTATTGATATTAATCAATAATTTCAACAAGGAAGATTATCTTATTAGTTTAGGACAATTTTTGAATGAAAAAAAATAATAAGTTCTTTGTAAAATTTATTATAGGATTCCTCATGATAGGTTTAGATGTAACGAAAAAGAACATTAATTCCGATGACATTCGAAAGTCCCTCAAGGGTTGCGAGCAACTAAAATTATACGTTCCGTCGAGACAAAATAAAAACGCGTAATGCACCATTTAGCTTTGCTTTGATAGACCGTTTCGAAGCACAATGAATGGCGTTAATTAATTTGATAATCGACTTGAACGCGGACGTAACAATCAAGAAATTAATCCTATTTCCTTCTGTTGCACATTTAATTTCGGCAGACGCGTTTGGGGCTTCGATCTGTACGTGCGGTCGGCGCTGCACGAAATTGAATGTGCTCGATCGCACCAGAGGGCGCCACTTACAATGCACGTTGACCATTATCCTCTTGCTGACGGTTGGAGGGACTCCGTTGGACGCGATGCACATATATGCTCCCATCTCGTCCCGAGTCACTTTCCATAATTTCAGCACTTCCCCCTGATACGACGATACTGTAAGCAAAAAAGTCGAATTCAAAGGATGGTTTACTCCAGATAAGAATTTTAATCTTTAGTTAAATTTTCGAGTCTCTTGAAAATCGCCTAAAACGTTTTCATTTATGAAAATTTTAGATGGGATACTTTTCATTATTCAAGAGATAATCAAGTATTTAAAGTGATATGTACGACGTTTTTCAAGTCTATGTTAGACAAGGCCAAGAACCCATGTTGTGACAGGGAACCGGAATTAAAGCTCCCCATATCAAAATTTATCATTTATAAATGAGCTGCGAGCAGCTGGCAACTATGAGAACTCTATATAGACGCAGTCCACAGCTTTTGTATTTAAATTTTTGTCCATCGCTAACAAATAGGTCGATAGCGCCCTCGCATAATGGCGATTTAGAAAAAATCGACATAGATAATAATAAAATCGAAGTCGGATAAGAGCCATTAAATTTCCAACGGAACTTTTAGCGTACGTTCGGACAAAAGAAGTAGCTTAACACCAAAAATGCGATAAGCATCTCATTGTACGCTTTATATATGATGCGTTGATCGGAGTTGACCGTATATTCTATTAACATAAACGTAATTTTCCCGAAATACAACTTTGTATAGAAAACTGCTTAATGCGAATTATTTTGGTGAATTAAATACAGTGTTTAAATTTTATAAAAAACGACGTAGCAAGTCCAGAGGCATAAATACAAAAAGTATGATCCAATTTTTTGAAAGAGCAGTAAAGCTATGGCGTTTAATCACCACTGTGCATCGGCTTGTGACCAACCATGCAAAATCGAATACTTGAAAGTGGGAGAGAGATAAACTCACTGGAGAAAACAAACGGCAGAGGTCCCATCTTGCTCATTTGCTCCTACTATTTACAAATCTTCTGGATTCCTGCTGCTTCGGAGAATCGAACTTGCCACTTGCGAAGAAGCCAACGAGATGATTGGAAAACGTCAACAAGTTCGCTTGATCAACAACAGAAGCAGAAGGAATCCAGAAGATATGTTGTTGAAGTTTTTTTGAGGAAAAACACATTTGGTCCTATTCAATGGTAGGCCTGATTGCAGACTAGCAGTTTCCGCACTTTGAAGGAGTTCAATAATTTCCTGTTCGTTCTGGTCATTTGGTAACCAATGGAGACTGCGCCCAGCTAGTCTTCCAGAGCCTTTCTAACAATCCAATCTCCAAGACAATTGGCGACGCGTATTCCGGCACCGAAAGTTGTTGAGAGTTCCTATTCTATTGGTCTTGTCGTACGTAGTTTGTAAGGTATATATGAGGTATTTCGTGATCCTCTTCTCACTTTAGATGTTCCACATCCGTCCCAAATGTTCTGGTGTAATCAAGAAAGCATAACGAAGATGGTAAATTGTTTTGGTATACTTCCTGTATTTTCACTGGTCCATAAGTGAAACAGCAGGTCTAGAAGCGAACAAAAATTATGGCAGATCGTTAGCAAGGGCAACGATGGCCGGTTACTCCCTCAAAAACTAAATCTGAAGTACCTCCAGAAGCAAAACACTTACCAAAATATCTGTTGGAGTACCAGGCACGAGACAGCTGCAGATTTTGAATTTGGATGGAAAGTGTCGAGGACTTTCTTCACAAAAGCTTTCATAAATGCATTTCCTATCACTGGCGATAATGGAAAAGCGACTTTAGTAAAGAGGAACTAACCAGAATACGGCTCGAACCTAATGCATTCGTTTTTAATTATTTAATGAGGTGAACGGAATTAAGTACGCGTTTTAATATAGTGTTGGATAGCCAGTGGTTGAAGGTGTAGTACTGGTTTGTGAACCTTAACCTTAAGGGGTCCGTTTTCAGGTTGCAGGATTCGTTCGTACGAATACCTTAAGTGTTTTCTTGATAGCCAGTTTCCTCCGATTCCTCCAGTTTCTAAACACGTTCTGGGCCAACCTGAAGGCAACTTGCATTGCTTTCTTCTTTCTTGATAGTAGATGCTTTTAGCTGCTTTTATGCTTTACTTGTTCTTTTGTTAGTTGTTTTTTTCATTGTCATTTTTATTGTACTATATCGCTGCAGTAGGAGGTAGCTCTCTCTATCTCTTTCTCCCTTTCTATCCCCCTCTCTCCATTCCTCCCTCCCTCTCTCTCCCTCCCTCCTTTTCTCTCTCTCTCCCTCTGCCTCTCTCTCCCTCCCTCTCTCACCCCTTTCTTCCTCTCACCATTCTCTCTCCCCCTCTCTCTCCACCCCCCTCTCTCCCTCTCTCTTATCGATAAAGGAATGTGTAGTATATTTCTTTAATAGTTGAACGACCTTCTAAATCGGATCAACATAACCAACCGGTCGTGGAAGCTGTCGAAGCTTCGTACGCTGGATGCAAACGACGAATGCCGACATCGTTTCACTCTCCTTTATCATCGCACCTTAGAGCCGAACATATTTCCATTTAAGATTTGCCACGGATCAATTGTTATTCTTCGAGGAACGCGCGCACCGCTCGGGCAAAGAGATCGTTTTCCGCTACCCGATTTTCTTTATGACGCGCCACTTTACATCTGTAATTTTACACTGTGAGATTGCGAAATCGCTGCCCATAAAACGACCGTAAAAATTGACTTCGGAAGTTAAAACATCGTCCAGGGACGAGCGATAACTTTGTGGCCCTACCGAATACGAGAATCGCGGGCGCTATCTGGCCACATTGAAAAGTGATTTTCTTATTTTCTTCTTCTTTTTTATTGCAGATGCGTGTGGGGATGCGGAAATGCGGGTCATGACGTGGCCAGCTTTAGTTTTGATTCCTAATGAAAGGCACAAATATATACTTCTGAATACTTCCGACGGTAGATAACTAAAATGAGAAAGTGTCTGCTATCTTTGCCTCCTGATCTTCCGCCGTTTTCCTGAATTTACTGGAGATGATACGGAAACATCAAGGTCTAAAGAAGAATTCAATCAGAAAACGACATCCAGTTTGAAACAAATCGATTCCGAAATAAAATTAAACCATCTACTGTATCCAGATTGCAAGATTACAGCTACAAGAGAGGAAGCAGCAGAGTTAGCAAAGTCATGATTCAAGGAAAACGTTGCATCTCAAGCTGGGGCTGATGGAAGCTGGTATATATGATAGTGTTCAAGTAAGAAGACTTCTTCGACAGCCATAACTCACCAAATCAATGAACGAGGTCCAATTTAGCTCTTGGGATTCGTTGATTCAAGTGAAGCAGTGTTTTCCTGGCAGAGAATTACGTGGAATTAGAGATTGCTTCATAAATTTGATCATTACAGGACAAAGCGAGTATACCTCAATAAGATTGGAATATAGAATATACAGAAATTTTAGTAAAGAAGAACTCAACTTCAAAATAACTAGAATATCAACTAGGTAATCTGTTGGAAAACCAATAGTGCTAAGATTAAGTCGAAAGTGGTTTGTGAACCTTCAGGAGTCGTCAGAAGTGACAGATCTTTTTAACCCGTTTTTAAGAATACTGCTGTGATCATAACTATGCTCATCTGTCAATTTTTCAAAGAAACTTCCATAGGCTACTGCAATACTTTTTATAAAACGTCTCGATTCCTCCAGTTGACTCGAACTAGTTAACGTTGCGCCAATCATCCTGCTTTCTTGTTCAAAGTGTGATTGAAACTGGCTCGCATTTTACTCTCTACCTGCTTTTAAATTGCATGAACACCGTCTCGGCTTGCTGATTCCCATATTGCTGATAGGTAGCATCCTGAGTCGCGATTAAGATTGTTAGGTTGCTTATAGATTTCTATAGACTCTCGGATTATTCGTCGGTAGAAGAATTGATTACATGCAAGAATTTTATTTTTATCGAATAAAATTTTATGGCCGATTTGGCCATTGTGTTCAGCAACTGCGGAGGAGTTCATTCGTTTTCAGGCTCATTGATGATCTTTGAGCCTATTTGATATCCATATTCATGGAATTCTCTAAACTCCTGGCTTCTCAAATCTTTTTTTTGCAACTTCTATCCTGGACCTGATCTTCTGTCACTCTTAAACTTGTTCTCTTTGATTGTCTGGATTTGACGTACTGCTTGGTTACTTGTCATATAGGTAGTTCATTCGTTTAACCACCATTTTTATGCTACTATATTTATAGCAATTTCTAAAATTGTGAAGGTATGATTTTTAATAGCATTTTCGTAACAAAGTTTAATAGTCAAGTCGTTCCAAACCTCCTGATCCATTTGCCTGTGGATCTTTTTTGAGTGGGAAGTCTAGCAACATTTAGTTTTGAGTCGAAAACATAAAACCAGCTTCGAGACGTTCCAAAGTGGCAAAACGACGGTTCCTCTAAGAAAATTTCTTTAAAATCGTTGCGGTTAATAGAGTTTTCGTTTAAATGGCCGTTTACGAACGTATACGCCAGATTTTATCTCGCCGCGCTGAAAACCCGATCCCGTTTTTGAATAGCGATTGACATTTATTTAGTATCTGGTCGGTAAGCGATTTTGACACGGATCTCCTGCTTTGTGCAATACGTAGACGTATACGCCCTTGTACCCCTTTTCGCATTCATCTTAATGTTGGTTATTGATGAATCGAACCCTCTGATGACTTTTTCGGACCTTATTTTAACAAAATTGTCCAAGAAAATGAGTCCGAAAGCAAACCCACGTCATCGTCAAGGCTGACCAGCAAACTAGATCTAAACCAGACGAACAGAAAAAATGCTGGTTAAACGGAAGAACTAGCTATATGATCAATAGCTAAGCAATTCAGCAGAGCAAGACAAGAACATGATGTCTAGCATAGAAGCCGATAAAAATAGAGATAATAGAGAATAGGGATGAATATCTATAAGAAGAAAGCAATACGAATTTCTTTTAGGCCCCCGAAAACGATCTGTCATATGAAATTCAATATGGCGTCCCAGAATAAATAAACTACCCAAATAACGTTTCCTTATAAACAAAACTCTTTGTTTTTGTAGCCACATGATCTTGTCTTGCGTCCGTTGAAAGCGTCTAGGTGTTTTCAAATCCAAATTTGAAGTGTATTTTGATTTTCCTAGTTCTTGGTAGGTACTGTGTAAAAAAAGAAGGTTGAAAATGGCTAAAACTTTTGTTGCCAGCTAAGAAAAACCGGTACAAGTACGTGGAAAGATAAGGATCAACCTACTAGAAAATCTACTGAAACGGATTTAACGATGGATCAATTGACTCTAAAATCGGAACGGATTTCGAATTACTAGATGATACATCAAATATAAACAGTTGGAAATATTATACTGGTTGTGAATATGAGATGGTTCATTTATTATATATTGATCTTCATCCTTATAAGGTTATAAGGACTGAATCTACACGTTGCCATATCATTTTAAAATGTTTACTTTAAAAATATAACTGATAATACAATGATGTTTTTAAAACTAACCAAACTTATTCATTCAACACAAGCTACAATAACATATCAAACAACTATGAAATCTCACACCTCTTTCATCGAAAGTTAGAAGTAAAAAACAAAACTATGGTTTTAATAAAAAAGTACTTTTTTAAATAAAAAATCATAACATCGTTGGCAACACCAAGGCGTATTGGGAACATTTTCTGAATTTACACATTCAAAATGAAACAATTTTGTCGCACATATTTCTTGCTCACATTGGATCAGGGGTCTTCCTTACGAGAATTCTGGTATTATGACTTCAGCGTGATACTCAAGAGCAACTCTTGAATTTTTATGCCAAATTCCCAATTCGGCAAATTCTTTGTTTAAAGAATGTATAGCAAAATTTCATTGATGTAGATTTGGGTTGCTTAATACGAAAGTGCGTTCTTAAGTTAAACACAGGCTGTGCGGACAGTTTGGTTCTGTCGCAGCTTGCAAGTAGCTACCAAAATGTTCCGATTGTTTTAACGTTTCAATCTGGTTGAATCTTCATCAAACATTTTGATGTTGGATATTGAATGTTTAGCTTAGAAATGGAGGGCTCAATGTGATTTCCTTAGAGTACCTAAACGTAGGACATCCAGTTTTGAGAGATTTTTTAGCCACAGTGTCTATATATTTAGTTTTATATTTATTTTCAGTAGCCACAGGCTGCTGTAATGATATTTACAAATCTTTTGGGTTAATACTGAGTACTTTTTACAAAAATTTTGGATTCCTGCTGCGTCGGTTTTTGCTGAGTTGAACTTGCTGACGTTTCGCCAATCATCCTGTTGGTTTCTTCAGAGCTTGGTTGAAACTGGCTCGTATATATTGTTTGAAGGGGGCGGAGCTAAATGAGGGACACAAACACCGTCTCGGATGACTGATTCCCATATTGGTGACAGGTAGATACCTGAGTCGCGGTTAAGATTGTTAGGTTGTTTATAGATAGTCTATAGAGTCTCGGATTTTTTGTTGGTAGTTTTTTAATTTTTTAAATGTTAGTTTTATCGAATAAAATTTTATGCCCGGTTTCGTGGTTGTGTTCGGCTGATGAGTTTATTTTTCTTGGTCGTATGGCTCTTTCGTGTTCTTTTAGCCTAGTTGATATTTTTCGTCGGGTCTCCCAAATGTATTCTTTGGCGCAAATGCATGGAATGCTGTAAACTCCTGGCATCTCAAATGGAAATTTATCTTTGACGGACCGAAGATGTTGAGAAAATTTTGGACAAGCGGTGAATCTGGTTTTGACATTATGCTTCTTTAGAACTTTTGATATGTGGTCAGTGATATTTTGAATGTAAGGAAGGACCTCAGTGGCAAGTGTAGGATTGCTTTCGGCCTTGCTTTTTGGTGATGTGACCATGCACTAAGGTATCGGTCTTTGTGCGTAGGCTTTCTGTAAACACAATTTTGGTTTTAAATGAAAGGTGTAGACAGCTTTGTTCTCAAAGACTTTCATAAATATATTCGCGATAACTGGTGATAGTGCAGAACCCATAGCTGTTCCCGATGTTTGTTCTAAAATTTGACAGTTATAAGAAAAATACGTTCCTGAGAAGGTTTGGTTCTTCATAAATCTGATGATGATGATATGGGATATGGGAATCAGTCATCCCAGACGGTGTTTAGCTCCACCCCCCCTCAAACAATATATAGTACAGAGTAAAATACGAGCCAGTTTTAGTCAAGCTCAGAAGAAGCCAACAGGATGATTGGCGAAGCGTCAGCAAGTTCGACTCAGCAAAAACCGATGCAGGAGGAATCCAGAAGTTTTGTAAAAAGTATTACAGTAGCCTAAAAATACTGAGTACATTGACTAATTTTCTTCTATGACATGAGCAACGTATTTGCTTACAAAATTGCTGGTAAATTTGAAAAAGCCAACAAAACATTACATAAGCATGTAAGGTGGTCTGAATCTACTCGAATATTTGCACTCTGTCAATGAATCGTTTTTTTTCTATGTCGTATATTCCAATCGATTCTAGTTTTTCGCATATTTTTTTTTTAATTACTCATTATGATTAACGTCTATATTGCTGTTTTGTTATTGTTAGTAATGTTCTACAATTTGTTTCAATTTTCCGCGTAATCCCCTAACACGACCGAAACTAAATATTCGCATCTAGGGAAAGCGATTGAGACAACCTGCCGTCTCCTCTAAACCTGGTATATTAAACTGTCTCGAACAAATGCGAACGTTTTTTCTTCGAACAACGATCGTTCGTGAACTCGCGGGCACATTTCGTTCATATACGAACCAATATACGTAGGTCTGTTATTGCCGTCGCGAGAACAGCACCTCGGGGAATGCTCCTGGCCGTTTTTTGAATCTTACAATACGTATTATTGGGGCCCTCGCCTTCCGCGAACCTCTAAGTATATTGGTTTCGGTATCAATGGCGCTCTCCTTATCTGAGACGTGAAAGGAGTAGATGACGAGGCCCTTTTACAATATTACGGGGACCTCGCGGGTCATTTTTATTTACATACGATCGCGGGAGGGCCGTTCTTTATCGTCCCTTTGGCCGTTAGCGCGATTGCTTTCTCGAATCCTTATGTCGCGGCGGCGGCTGATGGGATTAAATATGATTTTACGTGCGTTTGAAAGGGATTGTGAATTTATAGCGGATGGCGAACGAGATAAACCTCATTTAAGTTTAGGACTTACTCTAGATTCACTGGAAGGTTTCTTTACGACAGCTAATGCTGTCGCAGTTTAGCGTTTGACGCGATAAATCGGTATTACTTAAAGAGTCAACCTTAAGGCCACTTTTGTTTGCGAATTTTCCATCATTACAACTTCTGAAAAACGTCTAAACGAAGTAGACGACAATAGTAAATGTGATTAAAATATTTTTGAATAAATAGCAAAGCACTTGATACGATAATTCAAGGAACTTTCCTTTCAATTCTCCATCACACACAATTCGGTAACGTTTCTTACAAATTAGTTTCATGCCATTGACATGACAGAACAAAAAAGTAAGACTTAATCAACTTCTAGGTCTATGGCTGTTAACAAGGGAGTATTTTAAGTTCACCTCTGTTTTTGAATTTTATATAATTACTGTTATAATTAATGTACATCATCTTTAAGCCCATGATACTCATTTTTCTTTCTCTGAGAAATGTCTTTACTAAAAAGTTCTGATTCGAATAGATTTAACGATCCTGTCACTTAATATTCGCTAGTACTTACTCCTAATTGAAAGTGACAATCCAACTAGAATAAAAGGTACCTTAGCAGAGCCTTTGACACGATAAATCATGAAATTATCAATTCAATTCTTCATCACATAGACGTCTTTTAAATTCGTTTCGTCGTATTAAAATGCCAGAACCCTAAAGTATTACTTAACGAATCAATCTGTATGCCACTTCCGTTTGCGAATTTTCCATCATTACAGCTTCTCAAAAACGCCTAAACGAAATAGACAACAATAGTAAATCTGATTTGAATAAATTGAATGAATAGCACGGCATTTGATAAAGACACGGTGCTGTCGAAACAAATGTCATGTCATAATATATAATTTCGTAAAAATCTGAACTTTTAGTTCTTATTTATTTTGATAAATAAATTTTCATCAAGTAGAAGCCACCTCAGTTCAACGGCATTCGTTTTAATTTTCCATCACACAGATTTGGTAACGTTTCTTAGAAATTCGTTTCATTCCAGGAACATGACAGTACCCTAAAGTAATACTTGGGCCTATGGGTATTAACAGGGGATTATCACAGGGTCGTATTTTAGGTCGACGTCTGTTTTTGAATTTTATATAATTACAGTTTTGGGTTCATCATCTTTACGTCTATGATACTCACTTTTCTTTCTCTGAGAAATGGCTTAACTAAGAAGTTAAAAATAACTTTCATTTGAAGAAATTAAACGACTATTGCTATAAAAAATCACCTTCTCATTGCTGACAAACGTGATACGATAATATGTTAAATGCTAGAATCAGAGACGTAAACCAAAAGACTTTGATATGTCGATAACGATAAGAAGGTAAGATCTCACCTCGTATCTTAGAGTACGACGGTTCCTTGATGATGATATCTAATCCGTCCTCGCGACGCCACTGCACGTGTGGCTCGGGGTGTCCCCTTGCTCTGCAGGTGAGCTTGACGGTCCCTGCTTCCGGTACCATCACGTCCCCGGACGTTTCTTCCGGTATAAAATCGGGAGGAATCGCCACATCCAGGAATCCTACCTGCAAATCGAAAGATCCGGTAAGACAAATTGATTGTAGGACAGTTATGGTACCATGTATGTCTGCATTTTTATATCCCCACGAAGAAAAATAATAAAAAAATATTATAACAGATTGTTTAATTTATATTATTGTTAATGTTTCGGATAATGAACTGTTTCTTGGGCGTTGAACTATTTTATTCGTATTTTAGGTTAGGGTGAAGATATCGACATGCTGTTTTCATCGTCACCTTCCGAAAACATCAGATCGCATTCCGAACTCGCGACCAAAGCGCCGGAAATGTCCGAAGAGACGACACTTTCCGGAGTGCGTAGTAGAACAAATTATTTAATTACGTTCTCTGTGCATTGAAAATGATGAATTTGAGTACGGCGGAATTATTTTTCGCTCGTGTTAATTAACGACGCAACTTCTCATTGTTTCGTTAATTTAAAATGTTCGATACGGTCAAAATTGTCCGGCCGTTTTCCATCAGTTCCAATTTCGATTTTAATTGAATTAAGTGCGAACAGGAAACGTCATAGTTCGATGTCGAAGCGACGTACATATATTTTGGGTATAAAATAAACCCCCAACCGAAATAGTCAACGCGAAACAACAATACGGCTTCGATTTCGGATTTTGTACCTGCATCGTTTCCAAAATACCCGTAACCGACGTTAAACAAAATAAAACTGGTTGTGGCGGGGTATTTCGTTTTTTGTTTACCGCCCGATTTGATAGAATTGTTCTTCATTGATCGGTAACCGCGATTTATAGAACAATTTCAATCGAAATGTGACGCGAAACAAGTTTAAACGGCGATTTAAAGCTTCAGTTTTTTTTGCCCATATCCGGGAGGCCCCGTATATTTTCGGTTCGTGTCTCCGAATGGCGTTCGTTTTCTGATTCGATAATTATTCCGGTCGGACATGCCAATTTCTGGAAAATATTTTTTTTGGGTCCTAAAAAAGATATCATTTTTTTAGTTTTAAATACAGTCGAAACTCTATATAGCGAAATTAAAGGCACTGCTTTTTTTTCGTTAAATGTGGACACGGACTGATAAATTTGAAGTTGATATCTGCAAATTTAGGACACTTAACGCGTTTCTCATTTAGCTCGGAATATCGGGAACACCCTGTACAAGAGGTGAAGACAAAAGTTTTTGCTGTCTATACCGGCTATATCGCAATATAAATGAAAGTGAGATCTGGTTCACAGTCTTTCAGTTAAAACCATTTTTCAATAATAAGAAGACCCATTTGACCCATTTTTCAGTTTTTTTGAATTTTCAGACACTTATCGTGTTTCATAGCATTGTTCAAAAAACAGTCGAAAATCGCGAAAAAAAGATGGATACCGGCGTCGGATCAGGGCCAGGGTCCAGACTTCTACTTCTCTCCCAAGTCTGAAGTCGGTAGCTGCAAATTTGGAGTACTGATTATATTTTTTAATATTGCACGTTGTATCGCGATCACTCTGCACAATACTTTAAAACCGTAAATACAAAAGTTTAAGCTGTCTATATGGGCCATATGGTAATGTAAAAAAAAACTGACATCCAAAACACAGATTTGAAATTATTGCCAATTTTCAATAATAGGGGGGCCCATTTTTCAGTTTTGTAGAATTTGCACATCGCATCTTGTATATTTTCGAAAAATTGTCAGGAATAAAAGTTTATGGAGTCGTTCCCTTGTAAACGGTTTTTGAAAAATAGTCTTTTTTGTAGACCCTTGCACAAGTGATTTTTAATTTTTTTAAAATACCTCCCGATCCTCAGCCCCCCCCCCCCCCATTTTCAATAGGTTCCGTGAAGATGTGCCAAATAGGAAGTCGATTGCTTCAAATTTCGGACACTTATCGTGTTTCATAACAAGGATAAAAAAAAGTCGAAAATCGCGAAAAAAAGATGGATGCCGTCGTCGGATCAGGGCCATTTTTTCTATTCTTTCGTGGAGAGTTGAAAGGGAGGCAAATTTCAATTTTGTAGCTTCAAAAGCAAAAGACGAGAACGCAGAACGGACAGATAATTTTTTTTTTCGACGGCGATCATTTATGTAGCAACGGCTACCCTATAGGACCTACCGTTATCGAGATATAACCTTTTTATACGAGTGTAGATACTTTCAAAAAATTCGATTTCACCGATTTTCGAAAGTAGCAAGAACAGAACTTTACAAATGATGCGAACAGATGAAATGAAAATATTAAGAACTATACGGGGTAAAACTTTGTATGACAGAATACGGAATGAGGACATCAGATGGCAGTGCGGAAGGTGGGTGAGGCAAATATGAAGATTTTGGAACGCACATCAAAAGAATGCAAGATGGCATACTCGCCTAGAACGCAAAAATGAACAACCCAGTAGGGAAAAGATCTCAAGGAAGATCGCCAAAACGGTGGCGAGAATGCTGGTATCCATGTTAGAAAGAAGAAGAAAAAAGAAGAAGAAATAGGAATTTGCGTAAAATTTTTGTTTATGCAATTACCCAATTCGTATCGGATCGAACACAGGTACACCTGGAGATATAAATCGGCGTTTGTCGGTAAACATTCGTCACGTCAATCCAGGAACGAAAAACGATTAAAACGGACGCCGCGCGTTTAATAATAATTAACGGGCCCAATCGACTGCGCAAAATTAACTAACGCGAACGTGACAAAAGACTGGGACCCTTACATTACGCGGTAGCAAAATAATAGATGTTGCCGGAAAGTTAATTTATAGTCGGACGTCGATTATCGAAGTTTCGCGGTCAACGGGCAACTCTGTTTGCTCTTGATGGCGGGGTGGGGGGCGGTGTCTGGTGTCGACCGGTTTCGGGTCCCATTCGTTCGTCCTTTCATTAGATTCGTAAAAGGACACCCCGTTCCGATCTTGTGTCCCGTATTCGTAAAAACTTTCGGTCGTTCGTTGTTTACTATGAAACAGGTTGGCTGTTAACGAGATAACGTACGATTCGTATCAACGTTGACGGAAATTGAAAAACCTCGTCTTTATTTTTAGTCAACTGACGAGTAAACCACAAAATCGTCACTGGGCGGGGCAGATTCGTCGCAGTTTTTATGTCCAAAAGAAGCCGCTTCGCGGTTTCTGCGACCACTATAGAACCTTCGCAAAATCGATGTAATTTTAATGCGTATACACCCTGTATAAAGTGTCTTTCACGTCTCGGCGAACTGTGCAGTGTGCAGTAAGATTTTTTTTGTATGCAACAATTTAGTTGTTTGGGATTTTATAAAAATCTTACGGTTGAATACTTGTTATCAATACTTCTTATTATTTTTATATTTTCATCTCCTGCCACCTCTGCGTTGGGGTTGTAGAAAATTAACGAGAAGTGATGTTTGTCGACCCCTTTGCTTTTGCATTGCGCCACCTAACCATGGGAGCAATCATCTGGGACGCAGCGGGACTCGTTTGAATTTAATGAAACGACTGGCGGCGGTAATATCGCCACTTGCAATTTAATATTGCTAAAACAAAGGGAAGGTATTGTTGTCGAAAAAAGGCGCCATTTTTATTACGGAAGTGTCGGCGAGATAATGAAAAATACATTCTGGGGCGAAGATAGACCCATGCTGACCCCCCACCCCCCGGACGGGAAAAATTAATTAATTTGACAAATAAAATAATTTTCTTTCGCGTTTTCCTTTTTGAAGGAGTAATCGGCTACATACTAAGCGTAAATAAAAGTAAAACTGAATGAAATCTTAGCGGAGTGCTTAAGGCACGTGGAACAGTTCCGCCATGCGTGCCTGACTTTTTTTTTCAAAGAAACTTCCACAAGTCCTGGTTATACTATTTACAAGTCACCGCGAATATACTTATAGAAGCCCTACTAGATTTTCTTTGATTGAACTGACGTGGCTTTTACTCGATGAAAATCCATTTATCAAAATAAAAATTATGTATTATGACATGACAATTGTTTCGACAACACTGTGTGTTCTCTTTGTGTATTTTTCTTACTACATAATACCGGCTGCAGTGCAGTGTTTAATTTTATCATGCCCGTACCACACTCCAAGCAGTTTGGAGAAACATTTTCCACTAGCGAACTTTGATAACGAACGGAAACGGCATTTAACCGTCGCCGTTGTGTTTGCTTCAGTTGGTTTCCTGTCAGGTAATTACGTTTCGATAATAGGGCAGATTACAAATTATAAAACTCATTTCCGAGTTGTGCTCGGATAGGTGCAATTAGAATTGTTCGAATATCAATTCCAATGGGTAGGTATATTATTGAAATAAAAAGTTTTCTTCGTCGCTACAGGCAGTCAAGTTTAAATCAGTAGTTTGTTGACACTCCTCTAGAACGTATTAAAAAGTAGACGCCCCAGCGATATTGACACTTATCTAAGTCTTCAAGTGTATGTGGAGTAATATCTGAAGATCTTGAAGGAAATTCTATTAATGCGCTTCTAATAATCCACCGTGTTTCATGTCAATCTAATTCGAATTTGATGGATGAAAAAGGTTCAAAATAAAAAGGAACTAAAAGTTCAGATTTTCACGAAATTTCGACAACACCATGTCTTTATCAAATGTAATATTTACAAAGTACCTGCTACTATATATGCCCAACAATTACCAAAAAACCTTAATTAATATTGTTATGAGAATTTAAGTTCATTAAGGGAGAGACATTTAAATCTAATTGAACGTTAATATCTCATTTTGTTAATCTGCATAGCTTCCAATAAATTAAATTTTCTACATTTTGTGGCTGTATGTAAAATATCAAAATTGTCGTTAAAAATTTGTTTTTCTGTGTTTAAGTGTGTACCATAATTAGAATTCAGACTATTGTTTTTAAACGCTCTTTTATGTTCGTTAATGCGTTTCTTGAAGGATCTACCTGTTTGTCCAATATAAATTTAATTCATTTTTCGGTATATATAGTAGCAGGTAGTTTGTAAATATTTTATTTGATAAAGACACGGTGTTGTAGAAACAATTGCCATGTAAAAACATATAATTTCGTGAAAATCTGAACTTTTATTCC